CAATGAGAATATATCTAGACAAAACAAATCCTTGTTTCTTCCCAATTGGATCAGAAAAAAAACATTATATTTGTTCAAGATCTGCTGGGTCATGACAGCAAAAAGTTACACAAACTTCATCAATAATAATCAATTTCCAATCACGTCTCGAGAATTTAACTCTGTTGTAAACGCAATTCCAATTGGTTATATCCAGCTAATGAAAGCACAACCACGGCAAGCAACAACTATAATCACAGACCCTATTCTGGATACGGCATTGACATAACAAGCAAGAAACTATCCAACCATCACATCTGCAAATGCATCCAACAACACAAGACCTTCATGTAAAACACACTGGAACTCACCATTCCAAAAGATCAACTGGAAGTGCACATGGCTATCTCCATCCAAACACTGTACCAACAATAAAATCAAGGAAATTCAAGGAGAATTGTCCACCGTATCAACCCCACAAACCTTTACATCGCTAAGTTCTTTGATATTGACAGTAAATGCTCATTCTGTACAGAGGAAGAATCTATAGATCGTCTTTTTTTCAACTGCCCCCTTACAAAATCAATCTGGACAAAACTGGCAATATTTATCAAGCACAAAACAAAGCAAGCAATCGATATCCAACGTCAAGACATAATCACCCTATTCCACCACAAACAAAAAGACATTGAACACATCGTCAACCTATACATATCATTCGGAAAATTTCATATTCGTAAATCAAAGTTTCTCAACAATAATCCCAACTTCAAAGTCTTATTAATAGAAATAAATCAGTACTTGCAATCACTTCAAAGCATCTCAAATAAGAAATCTATAAAAACCAAACAAATAGCTCTTCAGCCTCCATCAATAACTTAAACCCCCTACAATACCCCTCCCACCCATGCACTCCCATACGTACCACCGCTACCAATGAAAGAAAAAGCAACTATATAATATTGTAGAAATAAAACCTGCTAGCCTCAAAAATGGAAAATGTTTAAAGGAACTTATTTTAATTTTTTTCTCAGTTTAATTTCATGTCTGTTTTATTTTTGTCATTCCTAATTAATCCTATTATATGTATGGTATATGTGATATACAGTGCCTTGCGAAAGTATTTGGCCCCCTTGAACCTTTCAACATTTCGCCACATGTCAGGCTTCAAACATAAAGATATAAACATTACATTTTTTGTCAAGAATCAACAACAAGTGGGACACAATCGTGAAGTGGAACAAAATTTATTGGATAATTTAAACTTTTTTAACAAATAAACTAAAAAGTGGGGCGTGCAATATTATTCGGCCCCCTTGCGCTACTTTGTAGCGCCACCTTTTGCTGCAATTACAGCTGCAAGTGGCTTGGGGTATGTCTCTATCAGTTTTGCACATCGAGAGACTGGAATTCTTTCCCATTCTTCCTTGCAAAACAGCTGGAGCTCAGTGAGGTTGGATGGAGAGCATTTGTGAACAGCAGTTTTCAGCTCTTTCCACAGATTCTCGATTGGATTCAGGTCTGGACTTTGACTTGGCCATTCTAACACCTGGATACGTCTATTTGTGAACCATTCCATTGTAGATTTGGCTTTATGTTTTGGATCATTGTCCTGTTGGAAGATAAATCTCCGTCCCAGTCTCAGGTCTTTTGCAGACTCCAACAGGTTTTCTTCCAGAATGGTCCTGTATTTGGCTCCATCCATCTTCCCATCAATTTTAGCCATCTTCCCTGTCCCTGCTGAAGAAAAGCAGGCCCAAAGCATGATGCTGCCACCACCATGTTTGACAGTGGGGATGGTGTGTTCAGGGTGATGAGCTGTGTTGCTTTAACGCCAAACATATCGTTTTGCATTGTGGCCAAAAAGTTTGATTTTGGTTTCATCTGACCAGAGCACCTTCTTCCACATGTTTGGTGTGTCTCCCAGGTGGCTTGTGGCAAACTTTAAACCAGACTTTTTATGGATATCTTTGAGAAATGGCTTTCTTCTTGCCACTCTTCCATAAAGGCCAGATTTGTGCAGTGCACGACTGATTGTTGTCCTATGGACAGACTCTCCCACCTCAGCTGTAGTTATCTGCAGTTCATCCAGAGTGATCATGGGCCTCTTGGCTGCATCTCTGATCAGTCTTCTCCTTGTTTGAGATGAAAGTTTGGAGGGACGGCCGGGTCTTGGTAGATTTGCAGTGGTCTGATACTCCTTCCATTTCAATATAATTGCTTGCACAGTGTTTCTTGAGATGTTTAAAGCTTGGGAAATCTTTTTGTATCCAAATCCGGCTTTAAACTTCTCCACAACAGTATCTCGGACCTGCCTGGTGTGTTCCTTTGTCTTCATGGTTCTCTCTGTGCTTTAAACAGAACCCTGAGACTATCAAAGAGCAGGTGCATTTATACGGAGACTTGATCACACACAGGTACATTCTATTTATCATCATCAGTCATTTAGGACACCATTGGATCATTCAAAGATTCTCACTGAACTTCTGGACTGAGTTTGCTGCACTGAAAGTAAAGGGGGCCCAATAATATTGCACGCCCCACTTTTCAGTTTTTTATTTGTTAAAAAGGTTTAAATTATCCAATAAATTTTGTTCCACTTCACGATTGTGTCCCACTTGTTGTTGATTCATGACAAAAATTAAAATGTTATATCTTTATGTTTGAAGCCCTAAATGTGGCGAAATGTTGAAAGGTTCAAGGGGGCCGAATACTTTCGCAAGGCACTGTATATGATATATAATATATAATTAGGTTTGCTTGGATCGGTTTGCACACCTGGTGTGCAATCCATGAATCTTGGTGCTGTAGCCTAGCCTAGCCTAGCCTAGCCTAGCCTAGCCGTGGCTGCTGCTGTCTCACCTCTTCCAGATACGCTCTCTTTATTCAAGGCTAGGTTTAAAACAGTCCTCTTTAGTTTAGCATATGGCTAGGAAGGTAAGACTCAGGGAAGGCTAAACTCCTCAGACTGTCAGTCAAGCTGCATAGGGCGCCCCCTGCTGGAGAAGTATGGTAACTTGAGCACTATCCTCTCCTCCTTCCTACTTTATCTCTTTACCATTATTAGGATTTTGACTGTAGTTTGTTCATTGCTATTCACCCGTTGTCCCATTGTCTGTTTCATGGTACGATGACGGGATCTCTGAGCCTGGCCTCTTCCATCTACACCTGCGGACTGCCCCGCCCGACCCGCCTGGGAGTGCTTCAGTCCTGCACCGGACCTGTCCACGTTCAGCGTCCACTGGTCCACGTTCTGTAGCTAGCTTAGGTCCTGGATCATTAGCCTGTCCGTCCGGAGGAGCGGATCCCTTTCTCATATGGGTCTCCCTCCCTGTGGGTTTCCCTAGTTCTCCCCAAGGTTTCTCACTTTTTCCCACTGGGTTTTTTAAGAGTTTTTCCTTGTCGATGCAGGAGGGTCTTGTTGGACAGTTAGTGTCCAACAGAAAGGATTGGTGATGATCAGGACACTTTAGCATTCTACAACATGTATGGACATTTTCTTCTGTGTGTGCTTTATATTCTTCATGTGTTTTAACTGTTGACCTCTGACCTGTGTTGGTGATTTCAATGGTTTTGTTAAGTCCTCTGAGATGACTTCTGTTGTGACCTAGGGCTATACAAGAATAAATTGTATTGTATTGTATTTTAGGCATTTTCTTAAAAATGATCTCCTTTAGAGAAATACATTTTAGCAAAATATAATTTCCACTTGACATGAGCAGTTTCCACGACAACACGCCACAGAAAAAGAAAATGTTGACTTAGAATCAATGAATATTTACTGTGTTCTTAAAGGGGAGGTTTACTTCCTGTCCCTCGGAGCACTTTCGCTCCGTGACGTCAGCAATAATCTTGTGTTGAAGCTGTTTTTCTCGAGGCGACAGTGGCTAACGGCTTTGATGCTAACGGAGTTAAGCTAGCGGCTTTTTGTGTAAAGTTCTTCTCCAATAATACATCTCTGCAGCGTCTCTGAGACCTTCACAGACTTTATATAACAGCAGTATGTGTTCACGGAGGTGACTTTATATAACAGCAGTATGTGTTCACGGAGGTGACTTTATATAACAGTAGTATGTGTTCACGGAGGTGACTTTATATAACAGCAGTATGTGTTATTATTATTAGAAATGAACAAAACTGAGACACAACAGATTTGCTTTGATAAAACTTCACTTTTATTATAATATTTGGAATTTTAACTGCAGCTGAAGACGTGTCTTCACTGAGAGAGAGACCAGAGAGAGACCAGAGAGAGACAAGAGACCAGAGAGAGACCAGAGAGAGACAAGAGACCAGAGAGAGACCAGAGAGAGAGAGAGACCAGAGAGAGAGACCAGAGAGAGACCAGAGAGAGAGAGAGACCAGAGAGAGACCAGAGAGAGACAAGAGACCAGAGAGAGACCAGAGAGAGACCAGAGAGAGACCAGAGAGAGAGAGAGACCAGAGAGAGACCAGAGAGAGACCAGAGAGAGACAAGAGACCAGAGAGAGACCAGAGAGAGAGAGAGACCAGAGAGAGAGACCAGAGAGAGACCAGAGAGAGAGAGAGACCAGAGAGAGACCAGAGAGAGACCAGAGAGAGACCAGAGGGAGACCAGAGAGAGACCAGAGAGAGACCAGAGAGAGAGAGACCAGAGAGAGAGAGAGACCAGAGAGAGAGACCAGAGAGAGACCAGAGAGAGAGAGAGACCAGAGAGAGACCAGAGAGAGAGAGACCAGAGAGAGAGAGAGACCAGAGAGAGAGACCAGAGAGAGACCAGAGAGAGAGAGAGACCAGAGAGAGACCAGAGAGAGACCAGAGAGAGACCAGAGAGAGACCAGAGGGAGACCAGAGAGAGACCAGAGAGAGACCAGAGAGAGAGAGACCAGAGAGAGACCAGAGAGAGACCAGAGAGAGACCAGAGAGAGAGAGAGACCAGAGAGAGAGCTGAGATGCACTTCTATAATGCAATGATGACGTGTCCCCTCGTTCTCCTCTCTCCTTCCTCTTCTCTCTCCTCTATGACCTTCGTTTCTTCCCTTCTATTGCTCCTTCTCTTTGGCGTCTATGTCCTTCTTGGGTTTGGGTCCTTTGTCCTCGCAGCAGCAGGCGAAGCGCACCTTGTAGTCGAGGCAGCGCTGGGTCTTGCTGTTCTTACAGACGAAGCCCTCCAGGGGATTGAATCTAAAACAAAACATAATTAAACTCATGATGTGCAGCAGTGTGTGTTCCCCTGTAATAATAATCAATGCCGGGCCTGGCCAAGCCGAGCCGAGCCAGTGGAAACTGTTCAGGCTCCGCCCACTCACATGTAGAATAGGGACTGCTGATTGGTGGAGAGGGCGGGATGCTCCCCCACCGTGGTCACCACCTCGATCTGCTGTGGTCGGTCACAGATCTGCTTTGGATTCTGTTTCTGAAGATCAGCCAGAGTCTCCCAGTCCCCGGTCCCACTGGGGTCATCGCGGTCAAACCACTGGGTCCAGCACACTGCAACAACCAGACTTTTCATCAGGGACTCACCGACACCTCGGGTTTATCACCGTACGAGTATTTGCTGATAATGAAAACTGACACGTTTTATAAAGTACTTTGCAGACGCTCATTCTCTCCAAACACGGTGGTGATAAACTACTGTAGCCACAGCTGCCCTGGGGCAGACTGACAGAAGCCCCTCCCACCACCACCAACCATTCACACACACACCAGACTCATTCTAATGTGGGGGAAGTGTCTTGCCTAAGGACACAACCACAGTTAGGCACTTTACAGCCAGACTTAACCAGAGAGAGACCAGAGAGAGAGACCAGAGAGGAACCAGAGAGAGACCAGAGAGAGAGACCAGAGAGAGAGACCAGAGAGGAACCAGAGAGAGACCAGAGAGAGACCAGAGAGAGACCAGAGAGGAACCAGAGAGAGACCAGAGAGAGAGACCAGAGAGAGAGACCAGAGAGAGACCAGAGAGAGAGACCAGAGAGAGACCAGAGAGAGAGACCAGAGAGGAACCAGAGAGAGACCAGAGAGAGAGACCAGAGAGAGAGACCAGAGAGAGACCAGAGAGAGAGACCAGAGAGAGACCAGAGAGAGAGACCAGAGAGAGACCAGAGAGAGACCAGAGAGAGACCAGAGAGGGACCAGAGAGGGACCAGAGAGAGAGACCAGAGAGAGAGACCAAAGAGAGAGACCAGAGAGAGACCAGAGAGAGACCAGAGAGAGAGACCAGAGAGAGACCAGAGAGAGACCAGAGAGAGACCAGAGAGGAACCAGAGAGAGAGACCAGAGAGACCAGAGAGAGAGAGACCAGAGAGGAACCAGAGAGAGACCAGAGAGAGAGACCAGAGAGGAACCAGAGAGAGAGACCAGAGAGACCAGAGAGAGAGACCAGAGAGGAACCAGAGAGAGACCAGAGAGAGAGACCAGAGAGACCAGAGAGAGACCAGAGAGAGACCAGAGAGAAACCAGAGAGAGAGACCAGAGAGGGACCAGAGAGAGACCAGAGAGGGACCAGAGAGAGACCAGAGTGAGACCAGAGAGAGACCAGAGAGAGACCAGAGAGAGACCAGAGAGAGAGACCAGAGAGAGACCAGAGAGGAACCAGAGAGAGAGACCAGAGAGGGACCAGAGAGAGACCAGAGTGAGACCAGAGAGAGACCAGAGAGAGACCAGAGAGAGACCAGAGAGAGAGACCAGAGAGAGACCAGAGAGGAACCAGAGAGAAAGACCAGAGAGGGACCAGAGAGAGACCAGAGAGGGACCAGAGAGAGACCAGAGTGAGACCAGAGAGAGACCAGAGAGAGACCAGAGAGAGAGACCAGAGAGAGACCAGAGAGGAACCAGAGAGAGAGACCAGAGAGGGACCAGAGAGAGACCAGAGAGAGACCAGAGAGAGACCAGAGAGAGAGACCAGAGAGGGACCAGAGAGGGACCAGAGAGAGACCAGAGAGAACAGAGAGGAACCAGAGAGAGACCAGAGAGGGACCAGAGACAGACCATAGAGGATAATGCAGAAGACGCAGTACATTGGGGTTTGCAGAACTCGGGAGGGCAGCTGAAGCGGACTTTGTAGTCGTTGCACTTTTTGTCCTTTTGGTCTTTGTTCTTGCAGTAAAAACCCTCATTTACGTTCATCCTGAAAGAGAGAAAACAGATGCTCACCTTTGAAGAACGAGAAATAAACTTTAAAACATATTATTCAAAGAAAACAGGAAGTGACTTTAGCATTTGATGTTTTGGAACCTGGTCTCTCTCTCTGGTCTCTCTCTGGTCTCTCTCTCTGGTCTCACTCTGGTCTCTCTGGCCTCTCTCTGGTCTCTCTCTCTGGGCTCTCTCTGGTCTCTCTCTGGTCTCTCTCTCTCGGGTCTCTCTCTGGTCTCTCTGGTCTCTCTCTGGTCTCTCTCTCTGGTCTCTCTCTCTGGTCTCTCTCTGGTCTCTCTGGTCTCTCTCTGGTCTCTCTCTGGTCTCTCTGTCTCTGGTCTCTCTCTGGTCTCTCTCTGGTCTCTCTCTCTGGTCTCTCTCTGGTCTCTCTCTGGTCTCTCTCTCTGGTCTCTCTCTGGTCTCTCTCTGGTCTCTCTCTGGTCTCTCTGGTCTCTCTCTGGTCTCTCTCTGGTCTCTCTGGTCTCTCTCTGGTCTCTCTCTGGTCTCTCTCTCTGGTCTCTCTCTGGTCTCTCTCTGGTCTCTCTGGTCTCTCTCTGGTCTCTCTCTGGTCTCTCTGGTCTCTCTCTGGTCTCTCTCTGGTCTCTCTCTGGTCTCTCGCTCTGGTCTCTGGTCTCTCTCTGGTCTCTCTCTGGTCTCTCTCTCTGGTCTCTCTCTGGTCTCTCTCTCTAGTCTCTCTCTGGTCTCTCTCTGGTCTCTCTCTCTGGTCTCTCTCTCTCTCTGGTCTCTCTCTGGTCTCTCTCTCTAGTCTCTCTCTGGTCTCTCTGGTCTCTCTCTGGTCTCTCTCTGGTCTCTCTCTCTGGTCTCTCTCTGGTCTCTGGTCTCTGGTCTCTCTCTGGTCTCTCTCTGGTCTCTCTCTCTGGTCTCTCTCTGGTCTCTGGTCTCTGGTCTCTCTCTGGTCTCTCTCTCTGGTCTCTCTCTGGTCTCTCTCTCTGGTCTCTCTCTGGTCTCTGGTCTCTGGTCTCTCTCTGGTCTCTCTCTCTGGTCTCTCTCTGGTCTCTCTCTGGTCTCTCTCTGGTCTCCCTTAGGTCTCTCTCTCTGGTCTCTCTCTGGTCTCTCTCTCTAGTCTCTCTCTGGTCTCTCTCTGGTCTCTCGCTCTGGTCTCTCTCTGGTCTCTCTCTGGTCTCTCTCTCTGGTCTCTCTCTGGTCTCTCTCTCTAGTCTCTCTCTGGTCTCTCTCTGGTCTCTCTCTCTGGTCTCTCTCTGGTCTCTCTCTCTAGTCTCTCTCTGGTCTCTCTCTGGTCTCTGGTCTCTCTCTGGTCTCTCTCTCTGGTCTCTGGTCTCTCTCTGGTCTCTCTCTGGTCTCTCTCTCTGGTCTCTCTCTGGTCTCTCTCTCTGGTCTCTGGTCTCTCTCTGGTCTCTCTTTGGTCTCTCTCTCTGGTCTCTGGTCTCTCTCTCTAGTCTCTCTCTGGTCTCTGGTCTCTCTCTCTAGTCTCTCTCTGGTCTCTCTCTGGTCTCTCTCTGGTCTCTCTCTGGTCTCTCTCTGGTCTCTCTCTGGTCTCTCTCTGGTCTCTCTGGTCTCTCTCTGGTCTCTCTCTGGTCTCTCTCTGGTCTCTCTCTCTAGTCCCTCTCTGGTCTCTCTCTGGTCTCTCTCTGGTCTCTCTCTGGTCTCTCTCTGGTCTCTCTCTGGTCTCTCTCTGGTCTCTCTCTGGTCTCTCTGCTTACACCACAGTATCTCCAGCAGCTGCTGGGGTCTCTCCCGCCAGAGTCAGGGCCTCCACGTCCACTGGCTCGGGACACACATCATCCGGCGATTCCTCCAGGAGGTCGGCCAGGGTCTCAAAGTCCCCCTCCCCTGAGGGGTCGTCCCGGTCCAGCCACTTGGTCCAACAGCCTGAGAGCAATCAGATTTTTAATCATCTATACTTTAATTAGTATTCTGTGTTTTCTTTATTCTACTCACGTGGTTCACTGAGCACTGGAAGTGGATTAGGCACTGGAGATTAAAAAGAAAGAAACAAAAGTTAATTTATTTTAATACATTTAATGTAACTACTCGACCCTGGCCTTATCCATCCTACTCTCCTGTCAATCATCACACTACTGCATGTAACGTCTGGGTCTGGTCCCTGTGGTTGACTGAGCCCAATCACAAACAGATTTTAAAACGTCTATTTTTTAGTTATAGTCAGTCATAGTCATAGTGTTTCTAATTTTCTGTTTGGAGTTTTCATTATTCTACTCACCTGGTTCAGTGGGCTCTGGGACGGGAGCAGACACCGCAGTTTGAGAACACAGAAAACAAAAGTTAACATCTTTATTACTACGACTGTTATGAGGGCGGGGCTTAAATACAGCGTTTGTATATTTAGCTGCAGTACCCAACCTGACCACCGGTGGCGCTCCCGCTGGTGAGCAGTGTTTTAGCCAACTCTATCTGTGCTGTGTGTGTAAACAGTGTGTGTCCAGGACAGAAGTGTGTGGTCAGGTCTAGGAACAGTTAGAATTGTATTTGGAATGTTGGGGTTGAGTTTACGGTGGTTGATGCTAGTGTTAGCTCCTGCGCTAGTCCTCTCTGCATGTTTACTTTTGACTTTATTATATTTGTATCTTTGGAAGTGATGTATGTAGTTTGTTAGTGCCATGGATCTATAATATCTGGATAGCGCATGGCTAGCATATGGCTGTCCCAAGCACAGGCACAAACCACTCCAGGTCTGATGGTGATAATACCCACCAGGCTTCAGCTGCTGCAGGCTCCCGGCTGCAACACAACAGAGAATACCGCTGTGATGTCACATGTTTTACATAAATGTGGATTAGATCTGAGGCTAATGAACAAATGTCAACACACAACGAGAATAAACCGGATTTTAGACTCTCAGGCTAAAGAGAGAGCACACTTTATTATTATTACTTTTTAATTTGTCACTTTTATAATTAACAACTTTATCAGAAATCTGCGGAAAGAGAGACCGTAGAGAGAGAGACCAGAGAGAGACCAGAGAGAGACCAGAGAGAGACCAGAGAGAGACCAGAGAGAGACCAGAGAGGGACCAGAGAGAGAGACCAAAGGGACCAGAGAGAGAGAGAGACCAGAGAGAGACCAGAGAGGGACCAGAGAGGGACCAGAGAGAGACCAGAGAGAGACCAGAGAGAGACCAGAGAGAGACCAGAGAGGGACCAGAGAGGGACCAGAGAGAGACCAGAGAGAGACCAGAGAGGGACCAGAGAGGGACCAGAGAGAGACCAGAGAGGGACCAGAGAGAGACCAGAGAGAGACCAGAGAAAGAGAGAGAGACCAGAGAGAGGGACCAGAGAGAGACCAGAGAGAGACCAGAGAGAGACCAGAGAAAGACCAGAGAGAGACCAGAGAGAGGGACCAGAGAGTGACCAGAGAGAGACCAGAGAAAGACCAGAAAGAGACCAGAGAGAGACCAGAGAGAGACCAGAGAGAGGGACCAGAGAGAGACCAGAGAAAGACCAGAGAGAGACCAGAGAGAGGGACCAGAGAGAGACCAGAGAGAGGGACCAGAGAGAGACCAGAGAGAGACCAGAGAGAGAGACCAGAGAGAGACCAGAGAGAGACCAGAGAGAGACCAGAGAGAGAGACCAGAGAGAGACCAGAGAAAGACCAGAGAGAGACCAGAGAGAGACCAGAGAGAGGGACCAGAGAGAGACCAGAGAGAGGGACCAGAGAGAGACCAGAGAGAGACCAGAGAGAGAGACCAGAGAGAGACCAGAGAGAGACCAGAGAGAGACCAGAGAGAGAGACCAGAGAGAGTAAGTATTTACGCCAAAGCTGTTGATCTTTCGTGGTCTTTAAACTCTCAGAGTTATATTTGTTCGTAAAGTCCCGGACTCAGAGAGACCTGTTGTGCTTCTGGATCCTGGTACCGGACCATGTGAGGCTTCTGGATCCTGGTACCGGAGCATGTGAGGCCATAGTATAAAAACACTTACCAGAGAAGAGTCCCAGCAGAATGAGCAGACCAAACTGTGGAGAATAAAACATTAGTGAAGAATGAGTGAATGAAACATCACTCGTTCATACGCACCAGTTTCTCCATCGCTGCTGCACAAAGTCCTGTAACACCTCACAGTTCTAGAGACCAGCACGAGCCCGAACCCTCACCAACAAGCTCTGCTGCGGTCAATACTGGTCCCTGAAGTCGTCGGCTTTTTATGCTGCGAGACACAAACAAATCTGAAACAAATGTAGAGTTTTCAAAGGTCAAAGTCTTTCATCCTTTCAACTTTGCAACATTTGTTTCTTTCCTAAACTTTCACTGACGCTGCAGCAGTGTAGCATTCTCACACCTGTACCTGTGTCTTAGACAGCCTGTACCTTTGACTCATGCATATGTACCTTTGACTTAAACAGCCTGTACCTTTGACTCATGCCTAGGTACCTTTGACTTAGACCACCTGTACCTTTGTCTCATGCCTAGGTACCTTTGACTTAGACCACCTGTACCTTTGTCTCATGCCTAGGTACCTTTGACTAATGCCTATGTACCTTTGACTTAGACCACCTGTACCTTTGACTTAGACCACCTGTACCTTTGTCTCATGCCTAGGTACCTTTGACTTACTGCTAACACAGGAGGCGTTACCTTAAGTACACGTTATACGCGCAGCAGATGCGCGTAACATTTTTAAATGTGAACCAATGGGGATATTTACCCTAACGTTATCTGTGTGATGTGTAAGGGACGTGTGACGTGTGAGGGACGTGTGAGGGACGTGTGACGTGTGAGGGACGTGTGACGGACGTGTGAGGGACGTGTGACGGACGTGTGAGGGACGTGTGACGTGTGAGGGACGTGTGACATGTGAGGGACGTGTGACGTGTGAGGGACGAGTGAGGGACGTGTGAGTGACGTGTGACGTGTGAGGGACGTGTGACATGTGAGGGACGTGTGAGGGACGTGTGAGTGACGCGTGAGGGACGTGTGACGGACGAGTGAGGGACGTGTGAAGGACGTGTGAGGGACGTGTGACATGTGAGGGACGTGTGAGGGACGTGTGACATGTGACGGACGTGTGAGGGACGAGTGAGTGACGTGCGAGGGACGTGTAACGGACGCGTGAGGGACGTGTGAGGGACGTGTGAGGGACGTGTGACAGGCGTGTGAGGGACAAGTGAGGGACGTGTGAGGGACGTGTGACGTGTGAGGGACGTGTGACGTGTGAGGGACGAGTGAGGGACGTGTGAGTGACGTGAGAGGGACGTGTGAGGGACGTGTGACGGACGAGTGAGGGACGTGTGACGGACGTGTGAGGGACGCGTGACAGACGTGTGAGGGACGCGTGACAGACGTGTGACAGACGCGTGAGGGACGTGTAACGGACGTGTGAGGGACGTGTGACGGACGTGTGAGGGACGTGTGACGTGCGAGGGACGTGTGAGGGACGTGTAACTGACGTGCGACGTGTGAGGGACGTGTGACAGACGTGTGAGGGACGTGTAACGGACGTGTGAGGGACGTGTGACAGACGTGTGAGGGACGTGTAACGGACGTGTGAGGGACGTGTAACGGACGTGTGAGGGACGTGTGACGGACGCGTGAGGGACGTGTAACGGACGTGTGAGGGACGTGTGACGGACGTGTGAGGGACGTGTAACGGACGTGTGAGGGACGTGTGACGGACGCGTGAGGGACGTGTAACGGACGTGTGAGGGACGTGTAACGGACGTGTGAGGGACGTGTGACGGACGCGTGAGGGACGTGTAACGGACGTGTGAGGGACGTGTGACGTGCGAGGGACGTGTGAGGGACGTGTGACGGACGTGTGAGGGACGTGTGACGTGCGAGGGACGTGTGAGGGACGTGTAACTGACGTGCGACGTGTTAGGGACGTGTGACAGACGTGTGAGGGACGTGTAACGGACGTGTGAGGGACGTGTGACAGACGTGTGAGGGACGTGTAACGGACGTGTGAGGGACGTGTAACGGACGTGTGAGGGACGTGTGACGGACGCGTGAGGGACGTGTAACGGACGTGTGAGGGACGTGTGACGGACGTGTGAGGGACGTGTGACGTGTGAGGGACGTGTGACGGACGTGTGAGGGACGTGTGACGGACGTGTGAGGGACGTGTGACGGACGCGTGAGGGACGTGTAACGGACGTGTGAGGGACGTGTGACGGACGTGTGAGGGACGTGTGACGTGCGAGGGACGTGTGAGGGACGTGTAACTGACGTGCGACGTGTGAGGGACGTGTGACAGACGTGTGAGGGACGTGTGACGTGCGAGGGACGTGTGAGGGGACGTGTAACTGACGTGCGACGGACGTGTGACAGACGTGTGAGGGACGTGTAACGGACGTGTGAGGGACGTGTGACGGACGTGTGAGGGACGTGTGACGGACGTGTGAGGGACGTGTGACGGACGTGTGAGGGACGTGTGAGGGACGTGTGACGTGCGAGGGACGTGTGAGGGACGTGTAACTGACGTGCGACGTGTGAGGGACGCGTGACAGACGTGTGAGGGACGTGTAACGGACGTTTGAGGGACGTGTAACGGACGTTTGAGGGACGTGTGACGGAAGTGTGACAGACGTGTGAGGGACGCGTAACAGACGTGTGAGGGACGTGCAACGTGTGAGGGACGCGTGACAGACGTGTGGGGGGAGGTGTGACAGACGTGTGAGGGACGCGTAACGGACGTGTGAGGGACGCGTGAGGGACGGGTAACGGACGTGTGACGGACGTGTGAGGGACGCGTAACAGACGTGTGAGGGACGTGTGACGTGTGAGGGACGCGTGACAGACGTGTGAGGGACGCGTAACGGACGTGTGAGGGACACGTGAGGGACGCGTAACGGACGTGTGACGGACGTGTGAGGGACGCGTAACAGACGTGTGAGGGACGTGTGACGTGTGAGGGACGCGTGACAGACGTGTGAGGGACGCGTAACAGACGTGTGAGGGACGCGTAACGGACGTGTGAGGGACACGTGAGGGACGCGTAACGGACGTGTGACGGACGTGTGAGGGACGCGTGACAGACGTGTGAGGGACGCGTGACAGACGTGTGAGGGACGCGTAATGGACGTGTGAGGGACGCGTGAGGGACGTGTGAGGGACGCGTAACAGACGTGTGAGGGACGCGTAATGGACGTGTGAGGGACGTGTGAGGGACGCGTGACGGACGTGTGACAGACGTGTGAGGGACGCGTGACAGACGTGTGAGGGACGCGTAACGGACGTGTGAGGGACGCGTGACAGACGTGTGAGGGACGTGTGACGTGTGAGGGACGCGTGACAGACGTGTGAGGGACGCGTAACGGACGTGTGAGGGACACGTGAGGGACGCGTAACGGACGTGTGACGGACGTGTGAGGGACGCGTAACAGACGTGTGAGGGACGTGTGACGTGTGAGGGACGCGTGACAGACGTGTGAGGGACGCGTAACAGACGTGTGAGGGACGCGTAACGGACGTGTGAGGGACACGTGAGGGACGCGTAACGGACGTGTGACGGACGTGTGAGGGACGCGTGACAGACGTGTGAGGGACGCGTGACAGACGTGTGAGGGACGCGTAATGGACGTGTGAGGGACGCGTGAGGGACGTGTGAGGGACGCGTAACAGACGTGTGAGGGACGCGTAATGGACGTGTGAGGGACGTGTGAGGGACGCGTGACGGACGTGTGACAGACGTGTGAGGGACGCGTGACAGACGTGTGAGGGACGCGTAACGGACGTGTGAGGGACGCGTGACAGACGTGTGACAGACGTGTGAGGGACGCGTGACAGACGTGTGAGGGACGCGTAACGGACGTGTGAGGGACGCGTGACAGACGTGTGAGGGACGCGTGACAGACGTGTGAGGGACGCGTGACAGACGTGTGAGGGACGCGTTACAGACGACGTGTGACAGACGTGTGAGGGACGCGTGACAGACGTGTGAGGGACACGTGACAGACGTGTGAGGGACGTGTGACAGACGTGTGAGGGACGCGTGACAGACGTGTGAGGGACGCGTGACAGACGTGTGAGGGACGCGTGACAGACGTGTGAGGGACGCGTGACAGACGTGTGAGGGACGCGTGACAGACGTGTGAGGGACGCGTGACAGACGTGTGAGGGACACGTGACAGACGTGTGAGGGACGCGTGACAGACGTGTGAGGGACGCGTGACAGACGTGTGAGGGACGCGTAACGGACGCGCGACAGACGTGTGAGGGACGCGTAACGGACGTGTGAGGGACGTGTTACAGACGTGTGACAGACGTGTGAGGGACGCGTGACAGACGTGTGAGGGACGGGTGACAGACGTGTGAGGGACGCGTGACAGACGTGTGAGGGACGCGTGACAGACGTGTGAGGGACGCGTAACGGACGCGCGACAGACGTGTGAGGGACGCGTAACGGACGTGTGAGGGACGCGTTACAGACGTGTGACAGACGTGTGAGGGACGCGTGACAGACGTGTGAGGGACGTGTGACAGACGTGTGAGGGACGCGTGAGGGACGCGTGAAGAGGTGTTAGGGACGTGTGACAGACGTGTGAGGGACACGTGACAGACGAGTGAGGGACGCGTGACAGACGTGTGAGGGACGCGTGACAGACGTGTGACGGACGCTTGACAGACGTGTGAGGGACGCGTGAGGGACGTGTGAGGGACGCGTGACGGACGTGTGAGGGACGCGTGACAGACGAGTGAGGGACGCTTGACAGACGTGTGAGGGACGCGTGACAGACGTGTGAGGGACGCGTGACAGACGTGTGAGGGACGCTTGACAGACGTGTGAGGGACGTGTGAGGGACGCGTGACGGACGTGTGAGGGACGCGTGAGGGACGTGTGAGGGACGCGTGACGGACGTGTGAGGGACGCGTAACAGACGTGTGAGGGACGCGTAACGGACGTGTGAGGGACGTGTGAGGAACGCCTGACGGACGTGTGAGGGACGCGTAACGGACGTGTGAGGGACGCGTAACGGACGTGTGAGGGACGCGTAACGGACGTGTGAGGGACGCGTGACAGACGTGTGAGGGACGTGTGAGGGACGTGTGAGGGACGCGTGACGGACGTGTGACAGACGTGTGAGGGACGCGTGACGGACGTGTGAGGGACGCGTAACGGACGTGTGAGGGACGCGTGAGGGACGTGTGAGTGACGTGTGAGGGACGTGTGAGGGACGTGTGACAGACGTGTGAGGGACGTGTGACAGACGTGTGAGGGACTTGTGACAGACGTGTGAGGGACGCGTGACAGACGTGTGAGGGACGCTTGACAGACGTGTGAGGGACGTGTGAGGGACGCGTGACGGACGTGTGAGGGACGCGTGAGGGACGTGTGAGGGACGCGTGACGGACGTGTGAGGGACGCGTAACAGACGTGTGAGGGACGCGTAACGGACGTGTGAGGGACGTGTGAGGAACGCCTGACGGACGTGTGAGGGACGCGTAACGGACGTGTGAGGGACGCGTAACGGACGTGTGAGGGACGCGTAACGGACGTGTGAGGGACGCGTGACAGACGTGTGAGGGACGTGTGAGGGACGTGTGAGGGACGCGTGACGGACGTGTGACAGACGTGTGAGGGACGCGTGACGGACGTGTGAGGGACGCGTTACGGACGTGTGAGGGACGCGTGAGGGACGTGTGAGTGACGTGTGAGGGACGTGTGAGGGACGTGTGACAGACGTGTGAGGGACTTGTGACAGACGTGTGAGGGACGCGTGACGGACGTGTGAGGGACGTGTGAGGGACGTGTGAGGGACGTGTGAGGGACGTGTGACAGACGTGTGACGGACGTGTGAGGGACGTGTGACGGACGTGTGAGGGACGTGTGAGAGACGTGTGACAGATGTGTGAGGGACGTGTGACGGACGTGTGAGGGACGTGTGACGGACGTGTGAGGGACGTGTGAGGGACGTGTGAGGGACGTGTGACGTGCGAGGGACGTGTGAGGGACGTGTGACGGACGTGTGAGGGACGTGTGACGTGCGAGGGACGTGTGACAGACGTGTGAGGGACGTGTAACGGACGTGTGAGGGACGTGTGACAGACGTGTGAGGGACGTGTAACGGACGTGTGAGGGACGTGTAACGGACGTGTGAGGGACGTGTGACGGACGCGTGAGGGACGTGTAACGGACGTGTGAGGGACGTGTGACAGACGTGTGAGGGACGTGTAACGGACGTGTGAGGGACGTGTAACGGACGTGTGAGGGACGTGTGACGGACGCGTGAGGGACGTGTAACGGACGTGTGAGGGACGTGTGACGGACGTGTGAGGGACGTGTGACGTGTGAGGGACGTGTGACGGACGTGTGAGGGACGTGTGACGGACGTGTGAGGGACGTGTGACGGACGCGTGAGGGACGTGTAACGGACGTGTGAGGGACGTGTGACGGACGTGTGAGGGACGTGTGACGTGCGAGGGACGTGTGAGGGACGTGTAACTGACGTGCGACGTGTGAGGGACGTGTGACAGACGTGTGAGGGACGTGTGACGTGCGAGGGACGTGTGAGGGACGTGTAACTGACGTGCGACGGACGTGTGACAGACGTGTGAGGGACGTGTAACGGACGTGTGAGGGACGTGTGACGGACGTGTGAGGGACGTGTGACGGACGTGTGAGGGACGTGTGACGGACGTGTGAGGGACGTGTGAGGGACGTGTGAGGGAGGGACGTGTGACGTGCGAGGGACGTGTGAGGGACGTGTAACTGACGTGCGACGTGTGAGGGACGCGTGACAGACGTGTGAGGGACGTGTAACGGACGTTTGAGGGACGTGTAACGGACGTTTGAGGGACGTGTGACGGAAGTGTGACAGACGTGTGAGGGACGCGTGAGGGACGGGTAACGGACGTGTGACGGACGTGTGAGGGACGCGTAACAGACGTGTGAGGGACGTGTGACGTGTGAGGGACGCGTGACAGACGTGTGAGGGACGCGTAACAGACGTGTGAGGGACGCGTAACGGACGTGTGAGGGACACGTGAGGGACGCGTAACGGACGTGTGACGGACGTGCGAGGGACGCGTAACAGACGTGTGAGGGACGTGTGACGTGTGAGGGACGCGTGACAGACGTGTGAGGGACGCGTAACAGACGTGTGAGGGACGCGTAATGGACGTGTGAGGGACACGTGAGGGACGCGTAACGGACGTGTGACGGACGTGTGAGGGACGCGTGACAGACGTGTGAGGGACGCGTGACAGACGTGTGAGGGACGCGTAATGGACGTGTGAGGGACGCGTGAGGGACGTGTGAGGGACGCGTAACAGACGTGTGAGGGACGCGTAATGGACGTGTGAGGGACGTGTGAGGGACGCGTGACGGACGTGTGACAGACGTGTGAGGGACGCGTGACAGACGTGTGAGGGACGCGTAACGGACGTGTGAGGGACGCGTGACAGACGTGTGACAGACGTGTGAGGGACGCGTGACAGACGTGTGAGGGACGCGTAACGGACGTGTGAGGGACGCGTGACAGACGTGTGAGGGACGCGTGACAGACGTGTGAGGGACGCGTGACAGACGTGTGAGGGACGCGTTACAGACGTGTGACAGACGTGTGAGGAACGCGTGACAGACGTGTGAGGGACACGTGACAGACGTGTGAGGGACGTGTGACAGACGTGTGAGGGACGCGTGACAGACGTGTGAGGGACGCGTGACAAACGTGTGAGGGACGCGTGACAGACGTGTGAGGGACGCGTGACAGACGTGTGAGGGACGCGTGACAGACGTGTGAGGGACGCGTGACAGACGTGTGAGGGACGCGTGACAGACGTGTGAGGGACACGTGACAGACGTGTGAGGGACGCGTGACAGACGTGTGAGGGACGCGTGACAGACGTGTGAGGGACGCGTAACGGACGCGCGACAGACGTGTGAGGGACGCGTAACGGACGTGTGAGGGACGTGTTACAGACGTGTGACAGACGTGTGAGGGACGCGTGACAGACGTGTGAGGGACGCGTGACAGACGTGTGAGGGACGCGTGACAGACGTGTGAGGGACGCGTGACAGACGTGTGAGGGACGCGTAACGGACGCGCGACAGACGTGTGAGGGACGCGTAACGGACGTGTGAGGGACGCGTTACAGACGTGTGACAGACGTGTGAGGGACGCGTGACAGACGTGTGAGGGATGCGTGAGGGACGTTTGAGGGACGTGTGAGAGACGTGTGACAGATGTGTGAGGGACGTGTGACGGACGTGTGAGGGACGTGTGACGGACGTGTGAGGGACGTTTGAGGGACGTTTGAGGGACGTGTGAGAGACGTGTGACAGAGGTGTGAGGGACGTGTGACGGACGTGTGAGGGACGTGTGACGGACGTGTGAGGGACGTTTGAGGGACGTTTGAGGGACGTGTGAGAGACGTGTGACAGATGTGTGAGGGACGTGTGACGGACGTGTGAGGGACGTGTGAGAGACGCGTGACAGACGTGTGAGGGACGCGTGACGGACGTGTGAGGGACGTTTGAGGGACGTGTGAGGGACGTGTGACGGACGTGTGAGGGACGTTTGAGGGACGTGTGAGGGACGTGTGAGGGACGTGTGAGGGACCCGGTCAAAACACTTGTGAGACATGATTTTTCTAGCTGTCCTTGGCTCTAGATCACACGCACGCACGCAGGCACGCACACACACACACACACACACACAAACACACACACACACACGGCCAGTGGACAATCAGCCGAGTAATGTAACGCGCTGTGAACACCTACTGTGTAAATTCCCTGTTACACCATCTGTACCTTTGTCTTATACTATCTGTACCTTTGTCTTATACCATCAGTACCTTTGTCTTATACCATCAGTACCTTTGTCTTATACCATCAGTACCTTTGTCTTATACTATCTGTACCTTTGTCTTATACCATCAGTACCTTTGTCTTATACCATCTGTACCTTTGTCTTATACCATCTGTACCTTTGTCTTATACCATCTGTACCTTTGTCTTATACCATCTGTACCTTTGTCTTATACCATCTGTACCTTTGTCTTATACCATCAGTACCTTTGTCTTATACCATCTGTACCTTTGTCTTATACCATCAGTACCTTTGTCTTATACCATCAGTACCTTTGTCTTATACCTTTGTCTTATACCATCTGTACCTTTGTCTTATACCATCAGTACCTTTGTCTTATACCATCAGTACCTTTGTCTTATACTATCTGTACCTTTGTCTTATACCATCAGTACCTTTGTCTTATACCATCTGTACCTTTGTCTTATACCATCTGCACCTTTGTCTTATACCATCTGTACCTTTGTCTTATACCATCTGTACCTTTGTCTTATACCATCAGTACCTTTGTCTTATACCATCAGTACCTTTGTCTTATACCATCTGTACCTTTGTCTTATACCATCTGTACCTTTGTCTTATACCATCTGTACCTTTGTCTTCTACCATCATTACCTTTGTCTTATACCATCTGTACCTTTGTCTTATACCATCTGTACCTTTGTCTTATACCATCTGTACCTTTGTCTTATACTATCTGTACCTTTGTCTTATACCATCAGTACCTTTTTCTTATACCATCTGTACCTTTGTCTTATACCATCTATATCTTTGTCTTATACCATCAGTACCTTTGTCTTATACCATCAGTAACTTTGTCTTATACCATCAGTACCTTTGTCTTATACCATCAGTACCTTTGTCTTATACCATTTGTACCTTTGTCTTATACCATCAGTACCCTTGTCTTATACCATCTGTACCTTTGTCTTATCCAATCCAATCCAATCCACTTTATTTATATAGCACATTTCATAAACACGCAGTTTCCAAAGTGCTGCACAACATGCAAAATTGCAACAAATAAATAAATACACACATTTATATAAGAAAATACATAAATAAATCAAATAAAATAAAAACACAGAGGACCACACGACTCACGCGGTGTTAAAAGCCAGAGAATAAAAGTGGGTCTTAAGACGCGACTTAAAACATTCCAACGAGGGAGCTGTTTTGACGTGGGGGGGCAGGGCGTTCCAGAGCTTTGGTCCAGCCACAGAGAAGGCCCCTGTCCCCCCGGGTTTTAAGTCTCGTCTTAGGCACCACGAGCTGGAGCTGGCTCTCGGACCTCAGTGCGCGGGGCGGGTGGTAAATCTGGATGAGGTCCGAGATGTAAGGAGGGGCCAGTCCATTCAGAGCTTTAAAAACAAACAATAAAATCTTAAAATCAATTCTAAAATGAACAGGAAGCCAGTGCAAGGACGCAAGGACGGGAGTGATGTGGTCGCGCTTTTTGGTTCCTGTTAAAAGCCGTGCCGCAAAGTTCTGGACTAACTGTAGCCGGTGAAGTGCCTTGTGTGAAATACCGGAGTAGAGTGCGTTACAGTAGTCCAGACGTGAAGAAATAAAAGCGTGCATAACTTTTTTCAAAAAGGTTAAAAGATAAAAAAGTTTTAACCTTGGATAAAAGCCGCAGATGATAAAAACTCGATTTTAAAACACTGTTGACCTGCTTGTCAAATTTAAAATCACTGTCTATAGTGACGCCAAGGTTGGTGACTGTGGGACGCACATGTTCACTCAGCGGTCCCACATCCACCTGGTTGGCCCCAAAGAGAATCACTTCTGTTTTTTTATCATTCATTTTAAGAAAGTTTTGGGCCAACCAAGCCTTGACGTCACATAGACAGTCGAGTAGGGGTGTCAGGGGGCCATAAGCATTTTTTGCGATGGGAAAATAGATCTGACAATCATCCGCATAAAAATGATACAAAAGGCCGTGCTTTTTAAAAATCTCACTGAGTGGCAGGAGATAAAGAGAAAAAAGGATGGGGCCCAGAATTGATCCCTGAGGGACTCCACAGTGAAGGGGGGCAGAAGATGAGGTGGAATCCCCCAGCCTAACAATGAAGGACCGCCCCGACAGGTAAGAAGCAAACCAGGTAAGGGCGGTCCCCCCGACACCCACACAGTGTTCAAGTCTATTTAAAAGAATCGCATGGTCCACTGTGTCAAAGGCAGCAGTCAGGTCTAAAAGCACTAAAATGGAAGAATTACCAGAGTCTGCCATTAAGAACAAGTCATTAAAAACCTTTAAAAGTGCAGACTCAGTGCTGTGAAAAGCTTTATAACCTGACTGAAAAGTATCTAAAATCCCATTGGCCTCCAGAAAAGGTTGCAGCTGTGCAATAACGCATTTTTCTAAAATTTTGGACACAAACGGAAGTTTAGAAATGGGCCGATAGCTTGATAGAACTGTTGGATCAAGACTTGGTTTTTTAACTAATGGTTCGACAACAGCTCTTTTACAAAAAGAGGGAACAATACCAGAAAGAAGACTGCTATTGATAATTTTTGTGACTGATGTTCCAATAATACCCCAGACCTCTTTAAAAAACCGAGGTGGGAAAGGGTCCGTGCAACTGGACGAAGGTTTCAATTTGCTCACAAACTCTGTAAGTGCAGACAGTGAAACAGGCTCAAACTGACTAAAGACATTAGCACACAGAGTGGCTCCAACCACATTAGCAAGTGGCAAAACTGATATATTTCCCCTAATAGTAGCGACTTTACCATTAAAAAATGAGAGGAATTTTTCACAAGTGTCCCTTGTCATCTCCAGTGTGGTGGATTGGAACGGGTTAAGAACAGAGCCAATAGTTTTAAAAAGAACATGAGGCTGACTTACTTTACTCGCAATCAATTCTGATAAGAACTTGCTTTTTTCAGTTCG